CTTGAAAACTGATGACATCAGGGAGATCATTGCATCCATTAAAATGACCATGCAGTATATTTTTTGTTTGATTTCATATAAAAGTGATATTTTTTATTCAATGAAGATTTATAAAACGGATTGAAAAACTATTTTGTAATTGAAAATTAACATCCATTAGAATGACCATGCAGTATATTTTTTGTCGGATTTCATATAGAAATGATATTTTTTTTATTCAATGAAAGATTTATAGAATAGATTGAAAAACATATTTTGTAATTCAAATTTAACATCCATTAAAATGACCATGCAGTATATTTTGAGATAACTTGACTTATATCAAAACTGTCGCAATAACAATTTTAGAATTACGGTAAAAATAGACAAACATTCTATATAGTATGTTATTTTTTGTAATCATTTCTTTCCAAGCAAGGCACTAAAGCCACTAATACGCAAGGGGTAACTGGGTATTAGAGAATATGAGAAAAACATATTAGTAAGAAGAGAGGACAATAAAAGAACAGGAATTAAGAAGACAGCAGATGATGATTGACATTGCATTCATATTTTTAAAAATCAAAGTTGATTAAGGAGCAAGAAGCCAGAAAAGAGTTCCACAAACGGGAAGTGCAATAGAATTTACTGTTAACATAGAACTTACAGCTACATCTAGCCATTTCAACAGTAAAATGATGATGCGTTACCACCACTTGTACTGTTTCTCTTCAAAACGTTGGGGATTATGGCTCTCCACAACATCCTATCCTTCAGAACCGCTGCATACTACCCCCGAGCATCCCGACCTGGTGGCGGGAGGGTGTGGCTAATTGGGGGCCCCGGGCAGTGTTTTGTGACCCTTGCTATCTTATTAACATTTGGGTTTTTTTATCTATATTTATATACGCTACAAATTAAACAACTGATGATTAAAGGATGAAAACATTTTCGCGGATTTTGACGTCATTCTGGGGCGCCGTTACATCCATTTTTTTTAATGCTAAGTGAATTTCTTTTTTTAATACCAAGTCTTGAAAAAACACGATGTAAAATTCACCATTTTTTTATCCATAATGTTGAAGTTGTTAAAATTCTCCAACATTTTAACGAGAAAAATCTCAAATTGATGTTAAAAAATTTTCTCAAACCATTGTTGATTTATTTAAGACAGAATCATCTATTATGACATGTCTCTAATTTGTATTTAGATGCATTGTATTTATTTTCAATTTTTCTAAAAGAATTGTTCACCTATATTGCATATGGTCTATTTTTGTACATAATTAGGTTACAATAAAAATTTGTATGAATACTACCTTATGAAAATAGAAATCTAGTAGAATGGGGTACCCTGTATCATAGATGAGGAGGCTATATTAGATTAGGGTAGGCACAAGGCCCTTTAACCGACCCTGCTATTCTAAATAGATCTAAGCAATTTTTGTCCCCTTAATATCCTTCCCAGTTCGTACTCTGCCCTCCATTTACACAAACAGGTTAAGCATTCATCAGTTTCCCTCAACCTTTCTTGCTTTTAGTACGTCTTGTAAAAAACAAAATTCTCCAAATTATTTCCTCATTATATGTTCCAGAAATTTCAACGCTATCTTTCTTATTCTAATTAAAAATGTCCTTCTAGTTACCATACCAAATATTCTGACGAACTGCATTCCTTAGAATCACCAAACATTCCCAGCTATCATCCGCCATTATACGAATCATCTCCATTCTCTTCATATTCCGTTAGTAAGAAGTAAGTTCCATTTTTACCACGGTTAGAGAACCTAATCTACCATGCTATTCAACCCATAGCTGGGGGGGGGAGAGAAGTGATGGATTCATACCTTTCCCGTGTGTATTTGTGCGTAAGTGAATCTAATGAAATTTCTACTGGTCTTCAAACTCGGGTCTTCGATTTCTCATTCTGAACACCTACCCATTAACCCACCCAACGTTGGTGGGTCTCGAACCACTTTCCGATCGTTACTCGGAAACTGACTACTGAGCTGCAGCTCATCCACTGTTATCACAAGGATGCAACCGTTGACCGCTTGGTGGATTGTTATCAAGGTGACTAAAGAAGCCTAAATCTCCCGGTTTTTAATTCAGAATAATCCTTCTCCTAGACAGACTGCCAATCAAGGCTAAGGATCTCTGTCTACCCGTTTTCACATAGTATATATATATATATATATATATATATATACGTAAACACACGCACACAAAGTGCGATGTGTAAATTGTCGCCATTTTAGATTTTTAATTTTGTGCATGCGCGTTGTTTGTTTTTGATTTTGTCGACTGTACAATATAGTAGGGTCAGTTGGGTACCGTCTGTGAGAAAAAGAGCACCATGACGCAATTCACCCCGCCAAAAATGTGGAAACGACAAGCTATACTGCTTGGCATTCGCTCCGGGATTTCAGGGTGTTTGGGTGCCAATCTGAGGACAGTGCAAAGGATTCGGAAAGAGTTAGATGAGTCTAATGGTGATTACGTAGGTGTTTAGAGGCATCACAAATGATGGTGAAGTTATGCCTCTATTCACCTTCTATCAGGGCCTCAGATTCAACAAAGAGGCCTACATCAAGTGCCTTGAGGATGTAGTGTTGCCCTGGGTCAAGAGGGTGTCTGCTGGAAGACCCTATGTCTGACTCTACACCATACCACACAAGCAGGAGAACCCAGTCATGACTGTCAGACAATTTCTGCGACCACGTTACTCCTTACATCTGGTCACCTCGGGCACCTCGACGTGGTGTAATAGTTAGAAAGCTTGTCTTGCTAGATGAATTACGACTGAGTAGTGAGTTCGATCCTCACTGGGCGCCCCATACTTTCGGCCTTTGCCACATCTAAGCTGTGCTTAGAAAATTACTACATCTGATCACTTAACTTCTTAGATCGCAAAACCGTTGATTATTATGTGTGGAGTGCAGTTGAACCAGGGACCAACAAAACTCCTTGTGACACCAAAGATGAACTGAGGTCAAAGATTATGGCAGCATTCACCAACTTAAACAAGGAGATCGTCCAGACGATTTGCAGGAGATTCCAAAGTCGTCTGGGGAGTGTGGTTGAAGTCAATGGGGATTTTATTGAATAAATTTACTGTTTAGTATTTCAAAATATTTTTGTGTAATTTTGGTAAATATGTCTGTGAAAATTAAATGCCAGTGTTATTTTCATTTTGGGGTAATTTAGTCGACAATTTATCCATCGCACCTATAAACGCATGGCCTGGCGATTGCGTTGAGCTTGAAACAGACTGTCGCCTTTTGTTGTTGACTCCAATTTCCATTTTCATATATATATATATATATATATATATATGATGAAATGAATTAAGTCCAACAATTATTTAATATATTTTCTGTTTATACCTATATTTATAGATACAATTTATTTAAGTAAAGCTTCTGTTTTTTTAAATAAACAGTATTAATTACATTTTCCGGTCTGAATGTTCGAGAAATTTCGTAGAAAATATGCATTCTCCGACAGGAATCGAACCTGTATTCCTATACAGGAACCATCACTTGATCTGACATGCTATACGATTTAGCTACAGAGAAGCGTCTGGTTAACAAAATCTAAATTACTGTTTTAAAACACACAATCTTCGATGATTTTTTTCGATCGATCATATCTGCTAACGTAAATAATGACAACATATAATGAAATGGATTAAGTCCGACAATTATTTAATATATCTTCTGTTTATTCAGACCGGTAAATGAAATGTAATTAATACTGTTTAATTAAAAACAGAGCATTTACTTAAATAAATTGTATCTATAGAAATAACTTATAAGCAGAAAATATATTAAATATATATATATTTTTTTTTTTATTTCCGAAGTTTTCTTCTTTATGGTATTTTTGGTTGGTGTCTGTTTATAGATAGATAGAAAACTTTCAATTCAACTTGCCCATAGCTGGGATCCTAACAGGCGCTACCACTTCGGGTCAGGATGGAAAACACCAATTAAGAGTTGATTCCACGCTCCTCAAAACTGCCAATCTCCCAATCAGAATCCTTGCTGCCGGATGTAGTTTATCGTCATACCCAGGACTGATTAATAAAGTAGTAGCCTACCTAAGGCAATGACACCTTAAAATCTACCTAGTTAATCTTTTTGGGATCTCAGCCGCTTCCTATCCTATCGCCCCTTCCAGTCAGTAAAATCTTCTTTAGAGAAGCTATCAAGTGACTTATTGTGTTCTCTCCAACTTCGTCAATCGATTGATTGATTTCTTTTTTATATAAAGCTGAAACATATTTTTGGAATGTAAGAATAATTCGTTTTTTACGAGAGAATATTGTAATAACTTTTCTTCGAGATAGTAATGGTTTTCAGGTACAAGTCTTACTAGTATATATGTGTAACTGGCCACCCGATACCTGTCTACTAGGGCGGTTAGACAATCCCTATTGCAGACGCTTTCTCAGGCGCATTTGTGTTTATTCGACACCCACAGAGCCCACCTGTGGTTTATACTGCAACTATGCTGAGCAGACCTTAGTTACAGTTTCTGGGAAAGAGCGTGTTATCTAGTTTCACCACCAATATGAACAAGGACAGCACGCTCAAGCCGTCGGCCACGATGACTTGTGGCTTCGTGCTAGCGCAGCTATCGACGGCCCCCAAAGGTCCCGTCTACCCAATTTCACCCACTAGACTTGGGTCAACCCGTGGTATGGTTTTCAGGCATTTTCCAAAGATGCCGCAAACTGGGATCGAACCCCTCCAGTCCGATAACATCAGGAAATTTCCTTTCTGACAAATCGACCACGTTGAGATTCGAACCCGGGTCTCATGGTCAGAATGCGAACGTTCTAACCACTCGACCAGTCTTACTATTTAATCCATAACTGGTGGAGAAGCGGAGGATTCATACGTTTCACAAAATTATTTGGGCATAACTAAGCGTAACAAACGTGACTGGAATTCCAACTCGAATCTCCGATTTCTTATTCCGAGCCGTTATCCATTATACCACCTGCAAATCCAAGCTCACAGCACCTGGTATTCCCAAGTGGTGACCCATCTTGTTACTGACCAGAATGGACGTTGCTTAACTTCGGTGATCAGACCAAAACCGGTGTTTGAACATGATCTGGCCGTCAGTGCTGCTGTCGTTTGAACTTTATAAAATTCTCTTAAACTAATTTTTCAGGAAAACAGGTTTCTCATCCAATTATATCCAGTTCCCAGCTGATGTTTTCAGGGTTGCGCTCAAGAGCGCAAACGGTGTGAGGCTTTTGCATCTTCCCTACCACAGGCTGCTATTACTGTATGCATATATTATCGATTATCCATTTGTATTATTACAGTAATTAACATTACCTAATATAGAAAAACAGGCAATACAACAAAGTTGTGGGAATTTTTCATGCTTGTAACATAGTCCATGATTTCACTTTCTCATTTTCGTTGATTCCACCTCCAGCTTCCGCTGTTCCCGGATTATTTTTTTTTTTTTTTTGGTAGGTAGTGATCCATACTGCCTCTCAACTTCCTTGTTACCAGGTTGTTTAGCAAACTCTATTGCTCGTAACTTGAAATGAACAATGTATGCCTGTCTTTTCTGATTTGATGCCATTCGTGGAAGGGTATCCTCTGCTGTATGACTGTGATGTCGTCTGCTTCCATGACTGTAGTTGGATTGTTTGCCTTTAGATGGCATCGGTAAGTTACCATCGTTATAAACAAACATGGCGGATACTGGGAATTGACACTACATTTAGAATTAACGGCAGATAACTGATTTGTTTCAATACTACACAAAGTAAAGTAATAAGGCTGGTAAACGTAGTTGTGTATTTATTGCATCAGAGATACAATTTTGACACAAGGCTGTAGGTGAAGGCTGATCATCAATGACAATCCTAAACCTAGCTAATCTGATTCGCGACCCATTCATCTGCTACAATTTAATGAATCACTACAAGAATTCATCCATTACCAGTCAATCGAATATGTACCACAATATTACATATTCGCAGGGATCCTACTAAAATACTCATGATACAGTGTAACCCGGATATAAGAGACTCGGATATAAGAGAAACCCGGATATAAGAGAGATTTTCTCTGGTCCCAAATTAGAGCCTGTGTTAATGTATATTAAATAGACCAAACCCAGATATAAGAGAAACCCGGATATAAGAGAAACCCGGATATAAGAGACTTCTCCGGTCCCGACAACTCTCTTATATCCGGGTTACACTGTATAAAAAAATTCGCAATATATACAAATGTCATTTTTGTCTTTTTTCTTATGAATATAGCTAAAAATATATGACATAAGGGATGAACCCAACAATGAAAATAAAATACAACCAGACATTCAAACTAAAACGAAAATATGCTAATAGGACCCGTCCAGCCCACAGAAAAATAAGAGTGACCACTCTATTTTGCCGTTCAGCAGAATCAAAAGCTCGCTCACTAAAGGCAGTTGGGGAGACAAAAAAAAATACGGAGTGGAGAAATATCAAAGACTGATTTAGTCAGAATAAAATATAGGGAAACAAAAAACAGAGCTTAGAAATCTTGACATACATCATAAGAAAAGAGAATGCCGGGAGCAGGCCAGGAACAACAAGTAGTTACATTTACTAGGTAAACAAAAGAGTTTAACTTAACCAGAGAAGGAGTCCGACAGGAAATCTCCCCATTTTATGAAAACGCGACAAATAAAGAAAATCAAGACTGACCCAGTTCACACGAACCAAACTCGCCACTTTCGCCCAACTTACGCTGAAATCTTCCGATAACAAAAGCTTTCTATCAGTTCTGATCTTCATCCTGAGCTGATACCCAAAGAATCCAACCAGATCCTGATGAGAATAACATACGAAATGTAACTATAAGTCTGCATTACGTGGCAGGGCTTGGAGTTTCTGAAGATACAGCATGGTATACCTAGATGAACGAGAGACTTGCAGTACCAGTATGCAGCTCCCTCCTTCATCAATACTCGAAAAAAAGTACATATGACATGATACTAAAGGAATATACGATATCTGTCTATATTAGATGAGGTATTATGTACACTATATTAGATGACGTATTATGTACACTATCTACATTATTCGAACTATTGTCCTTATTTTTGTCAACATATTTATTACAACGTTTCGACTGAACCCTTTATTTCGCTCACTGGGGTAGACTGTTCTAGTTCCACGTGCCATGTTTAATGGATGTCAGTTAATTCCCCTGCCGTAACCAGGTATTGAACTCACACTCACTGGATCTAATTAACGCCTTTACCCCCTGTGCCAAGTGTCCTTGAGGACATATGTGCATGAATTACTCGGTATTATAAACTTAATGTCTTCATTATCATTCTTTACCAGTGCTCATATTGCAATTTTTTTGCTGTTATCATTGCATGTTTTTACCAGAGCTCATATTGCAATTTTTTGTTGTTATTATCGCTTTTCTCTGGCACTCCTTATTACTGGTTTCCATATTGTATTCATTTCTACCCCTGTTTAGGACAGGGTTTCCGGTTCTTTCTAAAGTCTACTTTAACTCTTCTAACGTCCTTGCAGGAAATCTAAATTTTTTCACTACTTCACTTGTTGCCCTTTCTTAAGTTAATACAACTCTACACAGTAACCCTCTACCTTGAGTGGTTCTCGGGCATTGTATTGAGAACTTTAGTAAAAAAAAATATACCATTATATATATTGCCAGTTTACATGTTATCATACCATACAACCAGTCACCAGATACCGTAAGTAGTAATATATTTATTGTATTAAAAATACCAATATACTTTAGTTCCGCCAGGCCCAACATTCACAGCAAGCACCCACCATGCCACTTACATTGTAGCAAACCACCCATATTCCCCCCATATTCCATCGGTGAGAAGTAAGTTCCACTCGAACAGCTTCTTCCCGGGAACCACTGCTCGGTGAAACCGGCTCCCAAGAGGACGTTTCCCCGATGACTACAATCTTAATCTGTTCAAGTCTAGGGTTAACCGTTATCTTCCCCTCTTATTCGTACAAACTGCTTCCTAACGTAATCCTCTACCTCAAGTGGCTCCCATGCCTTGTACAGAGTGAATCTTACTGTAAAAACAAAAACAATGGGAAATAAACGAATACTTCACGAACAACTATCAAAGATTATTTCTGATATTTAATCATTCTCAGATCTGGAGAATTCAGTTTTGTTGCTGCCTACTCGATACTCGATACTCATCCTGTTGATCGTCACTGATGTCAGGATCAGAATCACCATCACTGCCGCCAGTTGGTTGTAGGTCACCGACTGCTTCATCCGTGTCTTCATAGACAAGTTCATCCACCGTAGAATCCAAAGCATTGCGTTTTCCACATTTGTTGAACGCTTTAACTATAATTTCATCTCTCACAGTAAAAAAAAACAACAAAAGAACAACAATATATATGGTATGATATTAAAGTTGTATACGGTATTTACTACATACTAGCAGTATAACCCGCTTTTGTTTCATTACTGGGAATATATATATATATATAAGCAGTATAACCTGTCTTTGTGTCATTACTGGGAATATATATATATATATATATATATTAAGAAATGGACAAGGTCCGACAATTTATTTATTAAAGACATTTTTATGTTTAACGTTGTTATTTATAGATACAAGTATTTAAGCAAATGCTCTGTTTATGATAAACAGTATTAAATAACATTTACCGGCCTGAATGTCCGAGAAATTTTCATAGAAAATATTCGTTCTTTGACAGGATTCGAATAAATGACGTCATATGTTAAGAAATGGACAAGGTCCGACAATTTATTTATTAAAGACATTTTTATGTTTAACGTTGTTATTTATAGATACAAGTATTTAACATATGACGTCATTTGTTTACATTCGATACGCCAGAGCAGTTATGAATGTACGAGATTCATGGAAGATTGAAGTTTATAAACAGTAAATTCGACCTTGTCTACCGTAAGGTTCTTTGTGGCCGAGACGGTTAAGGCACGTCAGCGTATATGACGGTTCCGTATAGGATGCAGGTTCGAATCCTGTCAAAGAACGAATATTTTCTATGAAAATTTCTCGGACATTCAGGCCGGTAAATGTTATTTAATACTGTTATTTAATACTGTTTATCATAAACAGAGCATTTGCTTAAATACTTGTATCTATAAATAACAACGTTAAACATAAAAATGTCTTTAATATATATATATATATTAGCAGTATAACCCGTCTTTGTTTCATTACTGGGAATATATATATATATATTAGCAGTATAACCTGTCTTTGTTTCATTACTGGGAATATATATATATATATTAGCAGTATGACCCGTCTTCGACCGAGTGTTTCATTACTGAGAATATTTGCCATTCAATTGGTGCAGTTTAAGTTTAAAGTCAGCCCACCCGAAAATCAATATTATTAACAACAATTGGGTGCAACTGAGTCACATCCCCAAATGGGGGGTTAACAATTTGAATGGGGCTGACCCTGAAAAGGACTGTTTTTGCGTTCTCAATCTTACAAAGAAGGAACCTCTTCCATGGACCGTCATAATAGTAATATATGATAATTATTATTTATAATATAATTTTTTTTTTATAATTCTAATAATCTTTTGCGTTAGATTTCAACGCTCTAAATTGATTGTACGGGTTTTTTTATAGACATTAAATTTTGCCTAAGTAAATATTGAGTCATAAAGGTTGAGTCATAAGTAATTTCCGTTTTTGGAAACCAGTTTTAATAACGACTGTGTTTTCCCAACAACTAATCATACGTGGCATTTAAGAAATTTGAACTACACTATCATACCTTAGTTTTTACACGGCAATTACATCATACACAATGGATTAAAAGATAGATAGATAGATAGATAGATAGATAGATAGATAGATAGATAATGAAAATAGAAGGATAGATAGGTACATTTTGACAAAATCTTAGATAGATAGATAGATACATTTTGAGAAATCTTGGATAGATAGATAGATAGATAGATAGATAGATAGATAGATAGATAGATAGATCATGAGAATAGAAGGATAGATATGTACATTTTGAGAAATCTTAGATAGATAGATAGATAGATAGATAGATAGATAGATTTTGAGAAATCTTAG